AAAAAAAAAAAAAAAAAAAAAAAAAAAAAGAAATAACAACATAAACGACGATACGAAATTTAAACTCGTTAAACGCGTATACATTTTTTGTTTTCCTGTTTCTTCGTTTTCTTTTCATAGCGATGACGAAAGTCACGATTATTATTTCGAGGTTATCGAAGAATTAAAATACAATACAAAATGGTACGAAACGAAACTAGAAGGAAAACAAAAAGGAAAAAAGAAAAAAACGCATTGTGAATTTTTCCCGTGGGAATTCATTTGTAGAGTTGAAAATTATTGAAAAAAAAATCAATTCTGAGATGAGAGAATCACGTCATATATCTTCTACAATATATTACATCGTAATCGTTATTCCATTGTGTACGATTTAAATAGAATCGGAGGATAAGGATATAAGTTGTATGCTTGTGTGTGTGTATACAATTATTCGTATACATATATACATATCTTTCTACCTACCTACGCACGTACGTACGCACGCAAGCAAGCATGCGTGATTCGTGTCAGAATCTTGTATTGTTTCTTCGATGAGGATCTATCGATCATAAATAAATGAATCGATATATCGGTATCACACGGTGATACACGCTTCGAGGAAGATAATAACTCGTATTCGTGTTCGCGTGCTCGCAAGCTCGTTGACTTCGTAATTAATTAATGACGGTTCCTGCGTTCCAGTCGATTTCAACGAGATAACCTACACTCGCACGCTGTTTCGATTTCGTGCCCTTAATTGACTTAATACGTTCAATTCGCTGAACCTTCTCTATCTCTCTATCTCTCTCTCTCTCTTTCTCTCTTAAGTAATAACGTGCAGAAGTTCGAGCTTATACCAAAAAAGGAAGTGTGTTGTATGTCTCTTTGTAGTGGATAATTAACGCGACACGAGAAAATGAAGTCGTTTGATATTATTTGTCATGGTCGATTAATTTGATCGTTCTATTCGCACGCATTTATTGTTTACGAAACTGTAATGGAAAAAAAAAAAAAGAAAAGAAAAAGGGGAAAAACCAATAAAAGAAAACGTCCGTCTGTTTGCCTGCCTGTGCATATGCATTATTATTTCGTAGTATGATTTTCCCTATCGTCGAATGAATGTATTTTTACAATGTAAGGAATGATCGTGCCCGTGCTAAAAATATCGTAACGTGTTATGACAATTGCACACGATTATATACGAGACCACAGAAAGACATTCAGTGAGATATGATTCACGAATACGTGACAAGTTATTCGATGTCAATGGAGAAAGCGTTTTTTTCAAGAATATATCGCGTATGCTATTACAACGATAGTTATTCAAATATTATATTAACGTATTTTAACCCTTTTTATAATTTTTGTATCATTTAATAGATCAAAGTCAACGACGTGGTCAACGTGCTGACGTAAGAATGAATCTGTTTATATGCATATGTTCGTGTATGCGTGTGGATCTGTGTGATAACATTTCGAACATAAAAGAGGACAAA